GTTTTAACTCATTTAATGAGCATATTTCCTTTACGTTTGAAAAAGAACAAGACAATTCTATCAGCTTTTTAGACGTAAAAATTATAAAAACCACAGACAATCGAATTATCACTAATTGGTTCCAAAAACCTACTTGGTCGGGTAGGTATTTAAACTATCATTCTTATCACCCTTTTAGCATGAAGATAGGCACTATTATTAATTTAGTCGACCATGCCATCCTACTCTCAGACAAACAATTTTGGCCTTCTAACTTATCCCTCATCCGCACGACTTTAATCAACAACTCGTATCCACCGCACCTCATTTACTGCGTCACCTCCAATAGACTCAAAACTCTCAACAGTACAAATTCTTCTTTTTCCCCAGAAAAAAGTTCCAAGAAAAATAATTTTATTGGTAACGTTTGTCTACCTTATATAAAAGAACTTTTCCCAGTGTGGAAGAAACTTTTCCATAAGGTAGACATCAGGTTAACTTGCAATATAGATTTAACCCTCATTTCCCTTTATTCAAATCTCAAATCACCCACTAGCTTAGAAAGAACGTCCAATATTATCTACAAAATAAACTGTAATAATTGCCCTTCGTCTTATGTGGGTGAAACTGGACAAAATCTGATAAAAAGACTTAAACAACATGACAATAATTCTAAAAACCCTAACCAAACCCAAACGATGATTACAGACCATATCAAAAATTTTAAACACACATTTAACTTTTATGATGCCCGTATTCTTTATCACGAATGAAACACAATTCAGAGACGTTTTGCAGAATCTTGTTACATAACCTTAATTAAAAATAGTGTAAACGAAAGAAATGATACCTCCTTACTCTGCGAAAATTACCTTACCTAACCTTACCTAACCTTACACATTCAATTCCGAACATAAAACCTTAGCCTTACTCACTCACACATTGCTACGTTATTTGTAAAAACCTTTTAGTGTCCTCAAAACAAAATTTCATACCACATGTTTTTCACTTTTGCCTCGGGATATGTAGAGACAACATAGCCTCTGGCCTGTGCAAAAATACCTAAAAATTTTTTTTTCCACAGTTTTGCGAAACAAAACTCTCATTATTTTTCTTACTAAAAAAATTCATGATTATCGACTGGTTGGTTGTATCAATGTTAGTGCAAAATTCTGTGATGTGTACACATTTCTAGATATAAAATACCATGTTCAATGTAAGTTTCATTTTTTTCTTTTTATTTGCGTATATATATGTATGTATGTATGTATATATGTATATGTGTACATATATATGTATATATATGTATATATGTGTATATATATATATATATATATATATATATATATATATTTATATATATATTTCTGTGTGTACATATGTACGTAGGCATGTACATGTTTATGGGTATATATATATATATATATATATATATATATATATATATGGTAATATATGTGCATATGTATAGATGTATATGTATGTTATATATATTTATGTATATATGTATGTTGTATATATATATGTATGTATATGTATATATATATATGTATATATGTGTATATGTATATATGTATATATGTATATGTACACACGTGTACTTTGAGTACATGTATGGATACGTAATTGCCTACGTGTATATGTATATATATACATATATGGATGCGGGTATATGTATATATATATATACATATATGGATACGTATGTATGTATATATATATATATATATATATATATATATATACACGTGTATGTTTATGCAAGGTATGTGTATATATGTATGTACTTAAGTTTATGTATATATATACACCTAAGTCTGTTTTTACACGGTCTTTTTGTACACGGTTTTGATATAACACGGTTTGAAAATTGAATATTTTTAATTTTTTTACACGATTTTATTCCATTTAGCACGATTTGAAATGTTATGTACTTAAATTTTTTTGTCAAATTTAATATTTGCGAAGTATGTTCATATCACAAAAAAGTATTTATGAAAGAAAAAAGTCTGAAACCATCGATAGTATCGATAGTTTGCGAACACTAGCTTAAAGATTTAAGTGAATTCCCCTTTAGCGCGTACAAACATTTTTACTGGTCAAAGCAAATGTGAATAGCACTTATTTAGGGGAATTATTATTAAAATGAACATGAATTCTTGTTTTTCACTATTTTTAATAGGTTTTAGAGATTAGGAACAAATCACCCATTTTTGTATAAGATCAATGTCTTTTTTTACACGTTTTTTTTTTACACGGCTTCTTCTGGAACCAATCTCCGTGTAAAAACAGACTTAGGTGTATATATGTATATATATATATATATATATATATATATATATATATGTTTGTATGTATATATGTATATATGCACATGTGTACATATATGTATGTGTATATGTGTATTTATATGTATATGTGTATGTATATATATGTATGTATATGTATGTATATGTATTTGCACATATTTATATATATATATATATATATATATATATTTTCTTCTTTATTTATTTAATATCTAGTTTCTATTACCATTTCTATCTTTTATATTCTGTTTGTTGTTAAGTCTTGCTGTTCTGTTAAATTTTTTCTTATATCTATAGCTTTTATACCAATCCACATATTTTATAATGAATAGTTATATTAATTTTTATACTGTTTGGAATTAAAGATTATTTTATAAATCTTTGCCTTTTCTTTGTTTGATGTATCGCCCTCAAGAACTCACTCATATATTTCAACATCAAAATTAACATCTAAATCATATATATATATATATATATATATATATATATATATATATATATATATAATATATATATATATATATATATATATATATAATATATATATATCTTATCTTATATATAAAAACGGATCGCAAAATGTGTTGGTAAGCGCATAACTCAACAACGCCTGGAGCAATTTGGCCAATTCTTTTTTTAAAATGTTCGTTGAAGTCCAAGGATGGTTGTTACGGCGAGAAAAAAACGAATAATTGCCGGGAAAACCCTAAAAACAGCCCTTTTCTTCTTTAATCGAGTAGGCAACGCAATTTGTAAAAAAAACAATGATCTATGTCATGACATTTTGTGTAGTTTTTGATAATCTAATTTTGAATATATTTATATAAACATAGAAATATCTTTCTATTAATCAAGCTATATTGGCAGCCAAAAACATTGATGTAAATTTATTAAATTTCAAAATTCAAGAACAAATTACAGGCGAATCAGTTGATTCGGCAACTAACCAAGACTATCCACCGGAGTTTTTAAACTCCGCTGGATTTGCTAGGATTGACACCTCACAATCTTCAATTAAAGGTTGGATCGGCAATTATAATGTTGCGAAATATCGACCAACTATATTCAAAGAATAGTATAAAGCGGAAGATGTTCTCGCACCATGCATCCCAATGCGTTTCCAGTGCGTTTATGGTATCATTAAGTGTTTGTGGTATTAATTTAGAAAACCCATGTTTCTCACGTGGAAAATTATATGTTGTTTGTTCCCGTATTGGAAAACCATCAGATTTGTTTGTCTATACGCCAGGTAATCAAACAAAAAACATCGTTTATTAAAAAGCACTACGATGAAAATTGAACTGATTTTTGAATTATGATTTACATTATTAAAATTACTTACTTTTAAATGCTTATAGTGTTTTATTTAATTATTTTTAATTCACACCCAATTATTACCAGGGTGACGGTTCTGTTCAAGATAATTTTTTGCAAAGAATAGAAAAAAAGGTAGGCACAAAACACCGCCACATTACATTTTTTTTTGACAGGACGAAGTCTGTCGGGCCGGCTAGTATATATTAAAGATGGGCTTAACATATTCGAAGCCGGATCGACTAGGATTTGACTCCGCTTCAGGGAGGAGTTGTATCCGCTGACCAACTCCACGGCTCCGACAACTTTGAAACCGAAATACTCGACACAAATGTGTTCTATAGTGCGTTGTTTATGCATCTAAGGATTTGTCAAATCCCATTTAATTTTTTGAAAAGAAAATTCATGAATAAAAAAAAATTAAAAAATATCAATAAAATAATTTTTCTAAAAAATTCACAAATAAATGACGAGTTGTAAAACTTTTCGGTCGACCACATGATCGACTCAATGACTCGTAATTTTAACAGTGTTGGCCAAAGTAAAAACGCAAAACTTGAGAATCAAATTCATTTTAATTATTTTCTTTTGATGAGAAAACAATTGATTTTTTGGATTAATTTTATATAAAAATAATGTAGTAAACTTTGTAATAAAAGAAAAACATTCATCATAAAATATTTTCACCAAATAATAATAGTTCTGCTTTCTAAGTTTTTCTTCTGCTATTTTCATTCGAGATTTAATATTATATCGGGTAGTGCTATTAGCATATTATTGCTTTTACACAATTATATAATTGTGTAAAAGTAAAAATTTAATACTATATATTTTTTGCTGCTTAAATACTATTGACGTCACTGATATATTTTGCACTCTAAAGTATTGTTATTTCAGGCTATGGAAAAACCAGATTAAATGTATTTTGTTACGTGTATTTTTCGGTATGTATATTCCTGATTGCCGTCATTCACGACCAAAGATTATCGTAGTTAAAAATATGACCCCTTACTATTCTATAAATTATACATTGAAACTATTCACACTTGAACACAATTTCATTGTTCTGTATCTTTGAAGTAATATTTTTGTATTATCTGGAAAAAAACGTATACCTAAAAGGTCATAAAACTGCCTGTGAGACGAGAAAGCGATAGCTTCCTTCCCAAAGCAAAAACGCAAAAACATATTTAGTACCAGTTTAGGAAAGTCGGATATGACAAATCCGACGACACAACTCCACTCGGATTCACTCCGAGGGAGGAGTTGTATCGGAGTGATAACTCCGGAGTGAGTTACCATCTCTAATATATATATATATATATATATATATATATATATATCCACATAGTTTAATCAGTTTTGAATAATCGTTTAAATAATCGACTAATTAATTACTTTATCGTCTACGATACAAATGCAGAGTAGAAGTCTCCCAGGTCCATGCATAACGCCAAGCAAAGTTCCAGTGGACAGGCGATGGGCATATACGTTGCCATCGTAGCAACCGCTAAAGAGGACGCCACGGCTTTCCCTCAAACATACGGCACCACGGCCTCCTGACCAAGAGGATGTATGTTCTCCAGTCTGAATAAATAAATTTATGATAATAAATACCATTCCAAACTTTATAAAAAAAATTATACGTCATAGTCAACCATCATGTTTCAGGATGTTGTATTATTAGTTCAATTATTAGTACTATGTTATACTCTACCGCAATGTTACACATACCTGCGCACTACACACATGCTTTTTCCAATTTTTATTCAAAATTACTTCAACAAGGAGAAAACATAAGACTAATAACTCGGATTTCTTGATAGAAACAAACTTCAGTATCTGATCAGTTACCGGTAATTGTGGTTTATTTCTGTTTCTGTTTATCAACTTTCCGAAGGAGAAGTTTGTTTTCATTAAAAAATCCAATTCGCTAATTTTATGTTTTCTCGACTTTTTAAAACGTTCTGAATCGAATGACACTAAATTTGGACAAACAACAGCTATCGTTTGTCAGTTTTGCGCGACGATCGGCCGAGCCGTTTCTTCACAAATAGGAGAACAGTGAAAAAATTTTTGTCCACGTTTTAGCCCGCAATTCTGAATCAATTTTAAAAATTCAAAAGCCGTTTCAATGATATTGGTTGAAAATCGACCTGATTAGTCTTTTGGTAAAGATTCTCTGGCACTAGTTTTTCTAATTAACTTTTAAAACCTTTTTTTTGCGATTTTTATAACACTTTTTGACAATAGATATCATGATTCTAAATAACATACTAAAATATTATTAAAGTTTGAAAAAATAATTCAAAATAAGTAAAAATTTGTGCCAAAAGTTTTTTTTGTGATGTAATAGGTCAATCAAGTCAATTAGAAATAGCTTGGGAAGTAGTAAAAAATTTCTCTAGTTTTGTAAAAAATGTTACAATTAAATTAAATCATCAAATAATATTTAGAATAGAACTACATACATGATTTACGTAATCGTGACAGTATTTTCTTATAGTAGATGCTTAATATTTCACAAAATAATTTATTATGTTTTTTAAAAAAATATTTCCACGTATTTTATGAAAAAAAACATGGCGATTAAGTTCCTGTACTAAACGGTCCTGCAAATATTGGCTGAATTATATAAATCAATTTTAAAACAATAAGATACAGTTTTAGGACATACAAGCACACGTGTCTGTGCACTATAATTAATATAATAATTACACATAATTATAAATTTATGAGAGATATCAATTGGAAATCACAATATTTTCACTTAATTAAAAGCGAGAACTTGATTTTCAAAATAAAGAGTTGAAAATTTTATCTGAATATCTAAATCCTAATTTCGATTGATTAAGTTAATTATTACACGAATTGGAAAGTTTGTGCAACTAGCCTTGGGACAAAATGCCACTTTCAACCAGTTTAATTTTATATTCAACAGATTAATTAAATATTTTCGATTATGTCGAAATGATAAGTAAGACTTAAATTGTCCAATTTTATTTTACTTGGATTGTATACATCGATTAAAAAATATTACAGTAAGGTAAGTTATCTTAATCGTCCAAAAATCGAAATAGAAAATTTTTGCAAATTTTGCAATTCAATGACCGTTCGAAAGATATTGGTTGGGAATCGATCTAATTAGTTTTTGTTCAAGATCGGCCGGACCGTTTCTTTGTAATGTAGTGTTAAATATTTTTTCGAATATTTTTTATTTTTTTGACGATAGATTTCATGGTTTTCTAGACCATACTGTAATATTTCGGCCCTATACAAGTCGTTAAATTTCAAAAATTCGTTAAAATTAGTGATGTTTTTTGAGAGTTTGCCAAAATTAGACCTTCCATCGACATTTTCTCAAAAACGCCTGTATTGATTGCAATAATTCAAAAACCATTCTATGTATCTCGATGAGGACTATCGTTCCTCAGTCTTGTGTGGCGATTGGCCGAGCCGATTCGTATATGAGGCAGCAACGTTTTCAAAACAAGCATTTTAGTCAGGCTTGTTTTTTGGTATGTGGTCCTTGGTGCTCTCTCGGTTAGAGTACGGGCCGTCTGGCAGCTGCGTTAATTAGTGCGCAGCCAACTTGTACAGCGCGATTTCAAAATTTTGATAGCATTTTAGTCAGTCCAATTTTCATTTTTTTGACTTCGAATAGGTTCACCAGACTCACATTTTTTATTCAATGATTTAATTCAAATCATTTTAGTCCGTCTGAAATTTTAATATTATGTTCGTTAAGGGTAAAAAGCCATAAAATTAATTTGCCAAACGTTTCGGCGGTTGTTAACCATGCCTGGCAATCAAAAATGCATGGCAATATGATACCAGTTTATAGCATTTTAGTCAGTCCAATTTTCATTTTTTGGCTTTGAATAGGTTATCCAGACTCACATTTTTGTTGCCAGACATTGTGGGCGCTGCCAAATATGTGCCAGACCCCAATTTATTCATATTTTTTTTAAATTCAAATAATTAATTCCGTCTGTAATTTTAATATTATGTTCATTAAGGGTCAAGAAACATAAAATTAATTTGCCAGACATTTCTGTGGTTGTTAAGCATGTCTGACAGAGTAAGACAATCACCAAATACATTGGCGCGAATGAAACAAAAAGCTATTATACTCGAAAGAGCGCAATACGTATACTATTCAAAGTTAGTGCAATTTCAATGATATTTTCATAAAACAAATAAAATAAATCATATCTTTTCAGTTTTGCAATAAAAACTGACAATAATCATTCTTTTATTTTTTTTTATCGCTAAGTTAACTGAATCGAATGACTTCATTTTACATGGTACTTAGCTTTAGCAGCAACTAGTTGTAACTCATACCAATACTTAATACTGGTAATACTAGTTAAGCTACCTTATCAGTTCAAGCTACCCCTAGAATAGAATCTTAAAATTCTAGTATATTTATATACAATATATATTATACAGCAAACATTCTCCATTTTTCTTTCTTTCAGCTTTTAGCTTGAGCAATACTTTTAAAAAATCGAAGTGTATTTAATAATTCAAAAATTCAAATGGGATCATTTTAGATCAATATGTATCACTATATAATGATTCTTATTCGATCTAGGTCTCTTAAATCAGGATTATAACTGGGAATATCGTTTTTTTAACAACGAATAAAAACGTCTCTTATACAGATTTATTCGTCTTATGGCATAATGATACAATAATATAGTAATGTAGCTACTGTTTATCTTCCTTCTCATATGTTGGTACTAGAAACTGGCACATTTATTCAATATGATAAAACTGTTTAAGCACTTGGGATGTTATAACACGCCTCGCATTCATTTATACATCATTATTTCGTTTAATTCCTTCAAAACAATCAGGTATGCGACCCTCCCACACTAGGACAATAAATCTGGCAGGTATTGCTCCGGGAAGAAGCTAGTTAGAGACTGATACTACAATATGATATATCAAAAGACTCATTAAACTCATCTATCCAACACAAATCAATGGATTCTTATTTTTCACTCATAATTCACCTTCGATGATGTATAAAGACTGCATATTATGAGGAATATGAATTCTTTAACTTTTTAGATGGCAATTTGTCAAAAACGGTAATTCTAAAGAAAAATTGTATAAACATAATTTTGCAGAGAAGTTTATAATAAACACATCTGTCTAACATAGTTACTTGATTTTTCTTATGGTTTTCTGGCTAGTACACGTAATGTGCTCTTACGAGGATAATAGCTTTTTGTTTCATTCGCACCAATGTATTTGGCGATTGTCTCACTCTGTCTACTACTATCATATTGCCAGACTGTTTTCGTTGCCAGACATACTTAACAACCACAGAAACGTCTGGCCTATTAATTTTATGTTTCTTGACCCTTAATGAACATAATATTAAAATTACAGACGGACTAAATTGATTTGAATTTAAAAAAAAAATTAATGAATAAATTGGCGTCTGGCACATATTTGGCAGCGCCCAAAATGTCTGGCAACAAAAATGTGAGTCTGGATAACCTGTTCAAAGTCAAAAAATGAAAATTAGACTGACTAAAAGGCTATAAACTAGTATCATATTGCCGGACATTTCTGATAGCCAGAGATGGTTAACAATCGCCGAAACGTCTGGCAATTTAATTTTATGTATTTTTACCATTAACGAACATAATATTAAAATTTTAGACGGACTAAAATGATTTGGATTTAAAAAAAAAATTATGTAATAAATAAATTGGCGTCTGGCACTTATTTAGCAGCGCCAAAAATGTCTGGTAACGAAAAATGTGAGTCTGGTGAACCTATTCGAAGTCAAAAAAATGAAAATGGGACTGACTAAAACGCTTTCAAAATTTTGAAATCGCGCTGTACAAGTTGGTCGCGCACTAATTAACGCAACCACTTCCAGCTGCCAGACGGCCCGTACTCGAACCGAGAGAGCACCAAGGACCACATACCAAAAAACCAGTCTGACTAAAATGCTTTTTCGAAAACGTTGGTAGCTCCCGTACTATTAGTAATAAGGAGAAAAGTGAGAAATTTTCGTTCACGTTTTAGCCAACAACAACAAGATGCAAAAAGTTAAATAAACAAAAGAGAATAATGCATAAGTCGCTTGGATTTACGAAAGAGATAGGCAAAAGTTGGAAAAAGTGGACGAAAAACAAAAATGGCGAGGTATCGAATAACTCATAGGTCAAATAGTTTACTATTTACTAATTTTTTTTAAATTCAATAATTAGGTTTGCAAATGTTTTATAATTTCTGTATGAGTCTTTTTGATATTATTATTATTTATTACACCTGTTGTTTCTTTTTTACGAGATTTATTATACATATAAAAGAAATTACTTGTTTATAGACTGTTTTTTTACAATTCATGCGCGCCCAGATAAAATAAAGTTAAGTAGAGTTATTAGAAAAAACATGTAGTATAGGTCAGAAAAAGAAGTATATAGGTTATAATTGACAGCAAGTGCAGAGACGTTGGTTTGTACTTTATATTTTTTTTTTATTTATTTACATTTATACAACACAATTATACAATTATAAATATTAATGGTAAATAACTTAAATTAATAGATAATAATTTG